AGAACACCCCCCCCCCCGCCCCCCGGGGGGGGGATGGCCATGCAGCAGCAATCCCTTCTCCATTCTCCTCTTGGGGCATGCACATACATGGGCCTGGTGTGAGTTTAAACCACCAGGTCTGGGACTCAGACTGTGGTCGGCTACATGGGAATCCAGCGACATAGCCATTACGCCAACTGCTAGTCCCACGAAAAATAACTCTTAAAAAAGAATTGGGGCTCTTGATTAAGGCTGTTGGACTCCTACGTGACTGACTATGGTTTGAGTCCTGGACCTGGCAGCTTGTTTTCTCACTTTCCCTCTCTTTGTCTCTCTCTGGTCAACTTTAAATATAAAATAATCACAAAAATGAAATTAAATGAAAAAAAAAACTTTATCATCATTATTATTTTTTAATTTGCTACAGGACATATGCACTCTCCAGAGAGAGACAGAGAGAAAGGGAGAAAGCATACCACCTGGTCTGGGACTTGAATCATGGTCAACCATGTGGGAGTCCCGCACCCACACCACCATGCCATCTGCCGCCCCGGGACTATTGTTAAACAAAACCACTTTTCTGATGAGAAGCCCATTTTATGTGACCATTAATTAGATCTAAAATGAGATTGCATGGCCCTTGCTATGCTTTATTAAAGATTTTTATGTAGATTTGGATGACTCTTCCCCCAACCCCAGATGTCTTTTAAGCCCTCCATTTTAGGTTCAGGTGCAAATGGAGAAAACATTAGTGTTCTCCTTTTTGTGTGGAGTAGTTGATGCTGAAGATGTAGAGCCCACTTACTCTGTGTTTGCCCAGCTGTGCGGCCTGTAGAGTTTGGCGACCTGGACTGGGTCCGCTTGCCATGTGGCTCTTAGCAAATCATTTGACTATGGTCCTCTGTTTTCCCATTTGTAAATGATCCACCTTACTGAGATTTGGGAAGCCTGAGAGGAGATAATGTTCAAGAATGTGTTTTGTAAACTGTAAGCCATTCTTAGTGCACTGTGCTCCTCCACTCTGATGTTTAATTATTATTATTTTTTAGTTTTGCCATAAGGCATGTGCGCTCACCAGAGAGGGATAGAGAGAAAGTGAGAAATAACCCCCAAGGGAATTGGCCACACTACAATCCCTTTTCCATTTTCCTCTTGGGATTCTGGGCATGCTCACATACATGCACATGCACCTGGTGTATTTCTGAAGACTCTGGGTTTAGGACTTGAACCGTGCTGCTGGCCATGTGGAATCCAGCTGCTTTAACCACCATGGCATTAGCTGGCCCCAATATTTAATTATGATATGATTATGAAGTTCTCTTTTTATTGGGAAGACCTCAACTTTGTATGCCACACTCTGATACTTTAATAAAAGTCATAGAGATGGTATGAGCTGATAAAAGTCTTCTATAGACATGCTATACCGGGATTTTTCTGAAAAGGTGTAGGTGTAGACTTTGCTGTCAGGCCAGAAACCTACTCACACATGGCCACTAGACAGGTGCTACAGGGTGGTTGAGATCAGATGTACTCTAAATGTAAGATATGTACTAGTATAAAAAGAGAATCTAAAATGTCACATTACTTTTTAGGTTATTTACATATAGAAATGATAATTGATGGGGTGGCAGATGGTGCAGTTGTTAAGGTGCTGAACTATCAATGGCTGACCGTGGTTTGAGTCTCAGACCCAATAGCTTGTTTTATCTTTCTCTCGTGCACATGTCCTATAGTAAGTTAAAATAAAATGAAATAAAACTTTCTTTAAAAAGAAGAAATGATCATTGGTATACATTGAATTGAGCAAAAATATATTATTAAAATTAATTTTACAAGGGCCAGCAAGTGGTAAGGAGATTAAGGCTTCTAGATCCCACATGGCTGAGTACACTGTTAGATTTCCAGATCAGGTGACTTGAAAAACATGCCTGGCATGTGTGTGCCATAGGGCGGGCACAACCGCGCCTGCCTGGCATGTATGAATGTGCCCCAAATCCCAACAAAATCCAAGAGAATAGAGGAGAAGGGATTGTGGTATGTTCCCCAGAGGTGGGGAGGAGATTTCTCACTTTCCCACTGTCTTTGGTGAGTACATGTGCCCTAGAGCAAACTAAAAATAATAATTTTACCTTTTTTTATTACCTTTTTTGTGAGGCTAATAAAACTTTTTTTTTTTTTTTTTGAGAGATTTTTTTGCTACAGGGTGCATGCACTTGCCAGAGAGACAGAGAGACAGAAATTGAGAAATCACCCCTAGAGGGGATGGCCTTTTCGCAATTTCTTCCTCTCCATTTTCCTCTTGAGATCTTGGGCATGCACGCATACACATACACATACCTGGCACGAGTCAGGTGGTATGGTGGTTAAGGTGTTGGACTTCCACATGGTCTACCACAGTTCCATTCTCAGACCTGGTGGCTTGCTATCTCATTTTCTTCTCTCTCTCATGAGCATATGTGCCCATAGCAAATTTATAAATAATAATAATAAATTATTTAAAAAATTGTACATGTGGTTTACATTATGTTTCTGTTGGGTAGGACTGGGCTAGGATTTAGTATGGGTATGTTTATCTTTAAGGGGGTTTAATTTATTGAAGCTTTTATACTCCTATTTATACATAGACTTTTTAAACTCCAGGTTATAGGGCTTCTCCCTACCACGCTCTTTTGTATCTTTTGCACTGGAAAAAAATTTATTCATCCCTCTCAGAAATAGCTATCATTGATCACACAGCAAAATCTCAGCTAAAATAGTTTAATGATCAGCTTTTTAAAAAGAATTATTTATTTAATTAATTAACTTATTTATTTTTAATTCTCCAGAGAGAGACTGAGTCTTAGAGGGAAAATGATAAAGTGAGCCACCAGGTCTGGGGCTCAAACTTCTGTCAACCATATGAGAGTCGAGCACCTTAATCTACAGCCACCTGCTGGCCAACCGCACAGTTTGAGTACCAGACTTGATAGCTTTAAAATCACACTGGGTGCATATGTGTAGCTGCCCCAAATCCTGAAAGATGATGCCACCTACAGGCCCAAT